AACCAATGTTAAAAAAATGAAGCTTGCAAAAAAAATCAAGTATTCTGAAATGACTAATATGTTTATTTCTACATTAAAAACCACATAGGAATGTCATGATTTCTATTAAATCCTTGTTACAAATGAAAGATATTGTTTTGAAAAACATTTCTAATAAAATAAAAACATATCTTTCAAGTATTTCTCAAGTTTTCTTTCTGTAATGAAATAAGCCAATGTCAAGTACACACTATATGTGGAGAATCCCAGGAACAAAGAAAAATTTCAAAATCTAGGGAAATGTTAACTAGGTTTCATTTGAAATGGGAATGTTTGGGCATTTTTGAAATATTTTCACAATTAGGATATATTTTATGTAATTATTTTTAAGGGAAAGACAATATAATACTTTATTAAAGAATTGTCTCATAAGCTACATGATGAGTACATGTCTCCCTGCTGATCTGAGGAACAGAGTTCGGGTCCTCATCGTGCCACCAACCAGCCATACGATCTGGAGAATGACCCTACCCTCCTTAGAATCAGTTCATTCCCCAAATACGTCACAGTCTGGTGCACTGTTATATCTACATGCATGTGCTTCCCCACTGTCCTGCCTTTCACTGAGGGTTCAGATATGCAGCTCTACCATATTTTGAAGTCAGAGTTTACATAGGAAGAAGTATGAAAAGACCTGTTGGGACTTATAATTGGCTTTCTCTGTGAGCAAGTGGATTTCTGTGAGCAATGCAGTCACAAAAACTCAACCATCAATTCATTCAAAAATGTTCATTAAAAACAGAAGAAGAGAAGAGGAAGGTAAAAAATGAAAAGAATTAGGATGCCTTATGTACATGCAGCACTCTCCATGATGCAGTAGTTGTCATCACTGCAAACGCATACTAGAGAAGAGCTACAAAGTATCCATAAAATATTGATTTATTTTGCTTTATAATAAGGTTACTCTGTATACATTAATATAGTGGAAATTTTAGACATCAATTGTTCTGAATATCTGTTCTCATTCATTTCTTAGGGTAACAGTGTGAGACCACGACCCCAAGCCCTAGATTAAACCTTCTGACAGATGCAATACATCTGCCCTGCAGTGCAATTCTATTCTTCACATGCTGTCAGACTAACAACCTTTAAATAAATACACCATGGCAACTGTTTACAAATCATTCTTCTTATCTAAAAAGCAAAACCCATCCCCCTCTGGCCCTCTGTTCAATAAGCCTATAATCAGTCTCTTTCAAGACCTCTCCCAGATGCACCGTGTCCTCTTCCCACAAAGGGAACTGGCTAAGTGCCTCAGTTTCCTCAGCAGAGAATCATGCCTCTCAAAGCTCCACGGAGCGCGTGAGGACAGAAACATCTGTGGCTGTGGATTTTTATCCACTTGAGCTAAGCAGCAGCATCTGGTTCTGAAGCCAAGGCCTCTTGACTCAGCGCTTTCCATTCCCGTTGTCCTGTGGACAAGCTGGAGAGGCCGCTGGCATCCCCGCTGTGCCCTCCCAGCTGGCTAATCTCCTCAAAGCGTGTGGAAAACCTCCACAGCACGTGGTGGAAAGCAGCACAGCACCGCGTGTAGAATTAACTTCAGGTATCGAGCAAGAACATTCCTAACTAAACAGGTTAGGAAAGGAGTAAACAATAAACAAACACCTTCAAGTATTTTTGATTCTCAGTACCAAAAGAAAACTGACACACACATGTTTTAGAAGAGAACGTCTGTTTTTAATTCACCTTTCAACTTACTAAATGCAGATTACTTTGCAGCTTAGAAATAATTGGTATTAAGAGCTTAAGACATCTTTATGTTCCAGACGTGCGAACTGACTCTCAGTGAACAGACAGACACAGCATCCTGCTGGGTGACTGCGGTTGCTCCGCACGGTACAGTGGGATGATTACAAAACAAAATACAGCAGGGTCACTGCTCCGGCCTGCCTGCAGAGCTAGCCAACCTGACCTTCCTGCTAAGAGAGCAGCAATCCACACACTAACAGAACTCACTTTTTTTACATGGGTCAAAAAACTTCGAATATCCTGGACCTGGAAAATAAGTTTTCATAAAGCACAAAGATTTAATTTCATAGAAATATAAACAAGTCAGTGAAATATCCTATAACCTGGTTTCATTTCAGGTTTGATCTGAAAGGGAGAGCTTGTCCTTTTCCTCACTGCTAAGCAGGTGGAGAAGTAACAACCACCTCACAGATTATAAACATTTAATTAGGTCACAAATTATGGAACAGTTCAGCAAAAGGAGTGCCTATGTTACTCTCAACAAAATTCAGCTATGATTATTTTTGAAGACTCTCTTTCAAAAAAAGACACATTACATCTTGTAACTGTCTTCCTCTCTTTGTCCCTTCCTATCTTTTTTTTCTTTTTTTTCGGAACTGGGGATTGAACTCAGGATCCTGTGCTTGCCAGGCAAATGCTTATTCTACTGAGCTATCTCCCTGGGCCCCAAAGATTTGAGTACATCTTAATTTTTTTTTTTTTTTTTTTTTTTTCAGAAAAGGGGATTGAACTTATGCCCTTGCGCTTGCCAGGGAAGTGCTTATTCTATTGAGCCATCTCCCTGGCCCTCTACTGTCTTGTTTTTCATTCCCCAAACATCAAACTTCGAGAGAGGTCTCAAGTTATAAAGGTCACACTGTCTCAATCTGTTCTTTCCCTAGGGCATCTGGTCTTCTCTCATTTTAATGAGCAGACAGAGGGCTGACTTCCCAAATGTGCATTAGCTCTGAATACAAACTGGCTCACTGAGTGTTTCCACTGAGATGTGCTAGAGGAATCTCAAACTCAGTATTAATAAAACTTCAACTCACTGCCTCTGCCACCCAAGCACAAACATGGCCCATCTCAGCAGCAGATCCACAACCATTCAGTTATGCACCCTGAGTCCCTGGGCTGAGCCTGAAACCTCCTAGTGCTCACTTTACAGCCTGCCACTTACTGGTTCCCCCAGAGAAGTCTCTTATACCCTTGCCTCATAGGTACTGTCTGCTTCTCCAAAGCTATCACTGATCAGCCTCCAAACTGACCTGCCACAAGCAACCTGGCCTTTCTCCATCTGTGTATGGCACGGCAGCAAAAATATCATAAGGTGACATTTATGTAACAAAACTCTCCCTACAGTCACTGCATCCTTAGAATAGGAGTAAAATACTGTGGACCACATGTGAAACTGTATGTATAGCCTTTGCCTACACGGTCTGCAGTTCTCTAAACATACAAGATCTTTTTTTTTTTTTTTTTAAATTTATGTATTTGGTACAGGTTCTCACTACACAGCGCAGACTCACAGTGATCCTCCTCTTTTCAGCCTCCCCAGAGCTGGGATTACAGGTGTGCACTACCACACCTAGTCTCCATGGCTGGCTCAGTGTGCTCCGGGGCGGTGCTGGAGCAGCATGTAGTGCTGTGGATCGAACCCTGGTGCCTGTGCTTGCCTATGCAGGTGCTTGGTCTGCTGAGCTATTTAGCTGGCCCTGAGATCTTTGTTTCTATGTAACTCAGTCTTTGTCTCCCTTGCAGGGCCTGATTCATACACGTTCCATTCCCTCTTCTGGAATATTTGGAAGCTTCATTGCTAGGCACGTCCTTCTCACCATTAAGGTCTTGCTGACCTACGGCTTCTGCAGATCCATCTCCCAACTCTGTGCACAAGGACCACTAATCACCCTCATGCGGAGAATCTTGCAATGGGGATCACAATCCTCAGTGATCTGCGATTACTTTATAGTGTTGACTTTCCACAAAAGATAATGCGTGACATCCGTGTAGGAATTCTGTCTCTCTTGTTCACTGCTATAATCTCGTGTTACCAAGTACTGTTCTTACCACAGGCAGGCCAATCGTAAGAGTGATAAGTACTTGCTGAATTAGTGAACACAAAGCGCTCTGATTTGATGACGTGAAAATCATTCACAATTAGTGGGGAAATAGCAACATAAAACCAATTCACAACAGTGTGTGACTGCTCATTGCAGAAGTGAGTACAAGGAAGACCTGATCTAGTGAGAAAGGAAGAAAACCAGTGTGCAAGGCTGACTTGCCGAGGGCTTCTGCTGGGTGCTGCAGTGTGAATAAACCATGGAGAGCAGGTGGGTTCTACAAAGAGGAGGGTGTGTAATACTCCAGTGAACGCTTGGGGGAAAACAAAAGAGAACAAAAGGTATAAACAGGCTGGTGAGCGGCGTAAGGCATAAACAGGCCCGTCGGCAGGAGGGCGTGCTGATGTGTAGGAAAGGGCCAACTTGGGTTCTGTTATTAGGGTTACAGTATTTGTGGAGAACCACTGAGTGTGGTATCACTGGAAGGATGATATGATTAGAGATTTCAGTGCAGGGACCAGCTAGTGAGCTCCTATACTACTTCAGCCAGAAAGAAGAAAGGCCAGAAATGACAGTGCTCCCTAGTGAACAACAAGGATGGAAGAGCAGCCGAAACTGAAGAGAGACGAAAGAAGGACACAGAGAGCTCTGGTACTGAGCCCCGAAGGCCCTATGCTTCCACGACGCTGAGCAAGTGTACTTAGGAAAGGGAGGTAGGAACTTTATTAGGATCGGAGAAGATTTAAGTGATCTATAAACAGTTTTCCAATACAACATTTTTATTTACATCAAAAAAGAGAGTAAGTGTTCTTTTATAATTATTGACTGGATTTTCAATATATTATATGCCTAGTTGTTACTTACTTAGATATTAGGAACCTCACAATAATATTATAATCTAACCCTGTCTTGGAAAGAATTAACAGCCTACAATTGTTGTGACTGAAGGAACTTGTAAGATGCAGATCTTTTCCCTATTCAGTAGAAGAATAAGATCATTTATGTTTAAAAGAATTCTGGTCTTTGTAATAATGGGCTTTGTAAAAACATTAAAATGGCATAAAGAATATTTTCAAAGTTCATTCTGATTTCAAAAATGTTAACTTCTGAAATTATGTCATCTTTAATTATCAGGAGAATTTCTGAGGAGTAATAAAAAGTAACACTTACTTTTGCTGCACCTATCTGCTCTTTTCGAAATTTCTCAAGTGGCGCAATTAATACATCATTAGCATTTTGAATCTGAAATTAAAAATGCACATATATTAAATTCTTTATAATTTCATGCCAACAACATTGACAAAATGGCTCCTTTATTCAAGTCATTGAATATAGTTTTTGTTCTCTTGTCTGTTTCCATTAAAAAAAAGTTTTCATGTTGGGTAGCATTTTTCTACATTACAATTAAGCAGTTTTCACATATTTCACTTGTTCTTATGATGCAAATAAAAATACTTGTACTTGCAGAACTGTAGTTAAAATGTTTAAGATTCTCCTAAGATTTAACTAAGAAATAGTACATTAGGTCTTAAGTTTACAAATACCTTTAATTGCACTTGTTTAATGTAGCCAGTCTGAGCATCATTTTACAATTGAACCATATAAACACTCTGTAATTTTGCCACTAAGATGCTAGAATTCCACAGCTGCAAAATAAAATAGGCTCATTTTTCCTACTTAATTAAATTCCTCACACTTGGGATTTGGATGAATTGGCTCATATTTGCAAAATGAATGAAACAGTATCTGATTTCATTTCAATGAAAAATCCTCTAGCCCCATATTCCAAATTGAGATTTGTTTAAACTCTAAAACTGGCACTTTCTGATTTGATATGAAACTGTCTCATTGCTATGTTTATCAATAAAACTTTGAAAAAAAAAAGAAACAAAACAAAACAATGTACAGTACTGTCTTAAACTTTGTGAGAATGACCTGTATTGAAGCTTCATGTGCATGGGGAAAAAAAAGGGGGGGGGGCTTAACCTGCCATTATTGTACATACTGGCCACAAGAGGCTACTGAACTGTAAATTTATATTAATTACAATAAAATAAAAGATTTAATGAGCAAAAAACAAAAAAAAATAAAACTGGTACTTTTTAATGTTCACTGTAACAGAAGGTTAAAGGGACACAAGATGTGAGCATCAGGAATGACATGCAAGGAAACACATGTCGATCTTTAAGAAAGCAACCTCTGTAGGCAGCAAAAGGGAGGTCCGGGTAACAAAAGGAATCATTTATTTTTCCACTGTGATAACTGAATATTACCTATTATATAATGAGCAAATGCTAAGTTGAAAAGAAAACCTATCTTGGGCTGGGGAGACAGCGGAGGTCTAAGAGCCGCCTGGCAAGCACGTGTTTGCACCTTCACTATTGGTGTTTGTCTCTAATCCACTTGTATTTCTTAAAATGCATAATGTAAATGCACAGATACACACAAAAGCTAAAGCTACATGGTTCATGCTGCCTCCCAAGAGCCTGGCATTCTCACAGTTGCAGAAAAATGTTATCCATCTTCCAAAAAATTAAAGTACACAGAGTAAATCAACACTCAAATTCCACTCAAAGACCCCGAGGGCCAAAGTGCATGCATCCGACACCCATCACCTCGTTCCCACTTGTGAATGAGCCAGATTAGTTCAGCTTTAATTCTCACTTTCTAAAATCTCCTGTCCTCATAAAGCTCAAATAAACATACACACACACACACACACACACACACACACACTTTACACATTTAAGGAAGAGCTGACTCAGTCTTTAAATACAAAATACACCAGGAAGGACATTATCATGAACACAGTGGTGTAATTACAAGAAAACACCAGCAATGAATGCTGCTATCATTCACTCAGAGTTTATACTTGGTGCCTGAAGCTGCAGTAAGTACTTCTCCAGCATGATCCACTTGACTTGAGGGTCAGTGAGATAGCTCAGTGGATTAAGTGCCTGCTTAGACAAGTACAGGGACTGGGATTTGATCCCCAGCACCACATGCCGTGCCGGTCCCACCCCTGGGCACATGCCTGTAATCCCAGTGCTGGGGAAGCTGAAGTAGGAGGATCACTATGAGTTCAAGATGTGTAGTGAGACCGTGTACAAAAAAAAAAAAAAAAAAAAAAGGCTGAAGTGGATGTATTTCCCAGGTGCAGACCCAGCAATAATGACACTGAACAATGCCAAGAGGCCGACAGGTCTAACAGTGCTTAAGTACATGTGTGTAAAATTAAGAAGACCTGGACTCAGCTTGGTTCTGTTGCTTACAGGGTTGTCAAACCACTGAAGGGCCAGTTGAACTACTTACCTAACAACTAGGTTTTGGGACTTAGAAGATAATAAATATATATCACTTAGTCCACTGGTTTCCCCATACTACACAAAAATGGCAGCTTTTTATATTTCCAAATATGCAGATTATATATTCCATGTGATATTTACTTACTTAAATCACATTTACACCAGTATCCACTGCATCACTCTTCTGGATTAGGTATATCTACATATACTATCGGGAAATATTTTCCCAAGTCCTGGAAGACAGATTGTCTGGAGTCTCCCACATCCAAGCAATGAGGTAATTTATCTACATATCAACCACAGTGGTGAGATCTGGGTGGGATAAATAAAAGCAAAAGCTAAGCTTTCCAGAAAGTTAAAGGCTACTTGAAATGAGGAAAATGTATTCAGTCAGCAACTGCTGGGTGGCTGCAAAGTATTGCTGAACAACTGCAGGAAAACTGAAGGTGAAAGATGAATCACACTGCAATGAGAACTACAGGATAAACTATGCGATACTTCATAACTACATTGGGATTTTGACAACAAGAGAGATCCATGGGAATTAAAAGAGTGACTGATACTTAGATGGTTGATAACTAGACACCTGAAGACAACATTCTAGAAGCAGAGAACACAGTCAATAAAGGTAAGGAGGGAGAAGCAAGCATGGCACATGGGAAGACAGAGCACAGAGCTAAAGTCTTAAACGTGCTTATTAAGAGGCAATTGTGTGGTAGCACATGGCTGTGGCACTCCGAGGGTCTGATGAAAGACGACTCCTACATAGGAGCCCAACCTGGGTGAGCTTGTCCCTCAGTGACACCCATTCAGAATAAAAAGTCCATCAGGGCTGATACTGGAGCTCGGGACAATCCCTAGCTCAGTGCACAGCACCACACACAAAACCAAGTGTGAATCATGACCGTATAGTCACTCACCAAGCTAAACGCCTTCAACTTTATAGAATAGCAATGGTGAAATGAATGTGAAGGCCATCAGTGCCCAACCTGTTGCAGATGCAGCAGCCGTGCTTTGCGTTCTCATTAATTAGAAAGGCCATCATCTATTTTAAGAGTACACGCTGCCTTTGGGAGGAGGAGCAACTGAACCAAGCTTAAAAAGGAGACAGGTTATACCAACAACCCCGGCAAAGGACTGAAAATGCAGAATCACTGCTGGCTTCTGAACAAGGATAATTTAAAAATCTTTCCTAGACACAACTATAATCCTAGCTATTTGGGAGACTGAGGCAGGACGATTAAAAGCTCAAGACCACTGCAGAAAATTTAGCAAAACTTCATTGCAAACAGAAGAAAAGGAAGACCAAAACCTCTAGAGCAACTTTAATCTCAGGTAATAAGGGACGGGACACTTAAGAGACAGTTCTATGGGAGATACAACAGGACTGGGAGTGGATCAAATGTAGGAGGAAGGGATCAAAGGCGATACTAACGGGTTGGTTTTTAATTTTAAAAACAGAGTACAAATCAGAATTAAAACTGAAAAATGTACAAGTTATACAGAATTTCACTTCACAAAGTAACATGAATTTCACAGTATTTGTTATAGTACATAGTGTTATCTTCCAACCAGTTATTCACATACCAGATTTATGCAAGTAAAATTGGAAGAAAGAAAAAAAGAGAAATGCATAAGAAATTAAGACGAGAAAAAGTACACTGAAAAGAGGAGACAAAACAAATTAAAGCATTAACTGCTTCTTTCCAAGGGCCAGCAGAAATGCACAGGACAGTGATACTAAGGTTTCTGCTTCACACCCTGAAACTTGCTTGCCACATAGAGAACCGAGATAATGAGAGCTTGTGTTTTGTAGAAAAGGTAAAAAAAAAAAAAAGAATTTTATTTCAGATCTATTATTATCTGACATCCTAGCTAAACTCAAAGAAATACTGTGGAAGAAAATCCCATATGCAGAACTAATCAATATAAATGAGAGCTGTTTTTCACTTTAATTTGTTTGCAACAGTAGCAATTGCATTCGGGTTCTCACTCATGCTGGGCAAGTCCTCAGACCTTTGTGGCATCTTCTCTTAAATCTTAAGAAAGGGACTCACTAAACTGCTGGCCACGGCAGGCCTCAAGCCTGCAATCTAGCTTCAGCCTCCCCAGGCGAAATGGGTAGCACCACCACGACTGTTTAAATTTGAGTTTTCAAACTGGGAAGTCAGGGATTATGAAATGAAAGTGATGAGAGGACCCATGTGCTTCACTTGGTACTCCCTGACACCTACACTTCAGCCAGCCATTCCTGTATGGCTGCCATGTACATATGACTTGAAAATAAAGCAGAAGCTAGAGGACATAAGAATTAAGCATCCTGCGGGGTGCGGAGACTAATTCCTATCTCTATTGCTTCCATATTTTTTAGGTTTTTAGATTTGTCCCCCTCTCTATTCATATTCTGCAAATGTGAAACTGAAGGAATTAAAAATAAGATATGGTAAAAGTATTAAACAGAAAAAAGCTGAAGAAAGGAGAGAAAACATCCAATAGAGTGGTAGAGAACACAAGGATTCACTGGGTGCTACCTGTGTGCCAGGTAGCTCTTCACAAGACGAAAATGAAAGCTGAAGGGTCAGACAAGTAACTCCGTGGATTAAAGTGCCTGCAAGCAGAGGCTGTGCTGGCCTCACCCCCGGGTGCGCTGATATGCTGAATGAGACTAGCCGTGGTGGCACCACTGTAATCCCAGCACTTGGGAGGCTGTAAACAGGAGAATCACCACAAGTCCAATCCAGTACTGAGACCCTGAACGCACTGTAGACACTTCTCTAAAATATAACAAAAAAAATTTTTTTAAAAGTAATTTGGGCTGGGGAGATAGCTCAGTAGAATAAGTGCTTGCCTGGCAAGCACAGGGCCCTGAATTCAATTCCTGGTACCACCAAAAAAAAAAAAAAAACAAAGCTAATTTTATGAGTAATGAGATCAAGA